TATATATATATATATATATATATATATATATATATATATATATATATATATATATATATATATATATATATATATATATATATATATATATATATATATATATATATATATATATTGTCACACCAATCACATAGGTGGATACATACAGCGATTTACACACATACATACAAACCAGTAGATACACAACGGGTGAGCACACGCACCGAAAGCCACCTTGTGTAAGAGTCCGAAGACATGAATCACTACACAGTGATCTGAATTTTAGATAAGTCGCGCTATTGTGTATACTATTACGAAATCTAGAGGATTTGGCTGCTTTCACGTTGCTTCTCAGAAACCAAGTGGTGCCTGCGATTTTCAGTACCAGTTGCATCCAGCAAAATATTATCCAAGCGCAAATACGCCTATCTGTACCCCATGACCAGCTATCTTTTTGCGCCCATATTTGTGAACACGCACAACCTGTGCAGTTAATTTATCTGATGACCAATGGGCCCACAAAGCCAGTCTGGATAAGGAGAAAGGGCTTAACTCTGTTCTATTAGATGTAGTATAATAGCACGATCATGTAAACCGGCTAAAGTTCCGATGAAGCTTCCTTCAGTCAGTGTACCCACACCACGAGAGACTCACATGTACCTGTTCGCTCATACGATGGAGCAGATGCCAATGGTGTGCAGTCGTTCAATTCAACGCAATGGTTTGCGAAATCCTTCGAACTAAAGCCATGCACCGATCCCAAGGCGTGCGAATATTTTGGCTTCCAAGTGGTTCTACCGGTCACAACGCTACTGTACATCGGACTCATTCTCCTGGGGGTCAACTCCTTAGTATACTACGCTTCTATCATGGTTGTGGGTTTCTGGTATGGCTTACCACGTAGTGGTGTGTGTGTGTGTGCTGTCGTTTCGGAGTATCTGTATGCGTGCTACGGGTGCAGGCTGAGAAATGTAATAGAGAAAATGCTTAGAGATGTCACTAGTTGTTGTTGTCCATATATGTGTAAGTGAATTGAAATACGTGCGCAAAATTTTTAATCTCTGTGTACATATGTATACCTTCAAGTAAATCATACTTTCCTATGCTTTTATTGGAGTGTAGGCCGGAATTTGTATTCTCGAACATATGTGTAGGTAAGTACATGTAATCGTTCGTGTACGTTATGACAGTGTGATATGTGGTGCACATGGTACCGAGATGTGCCTACACTTGAATGTTATTAATATCGAATAGTGTTCTCTCGGAGTTTACGCTACATATCTGTATGTGAATATATAGCTATATGTATATGTACGGCTGGACGCATATGTGTTTCAGTTTAAATATCACTTTGGTGCTGTACACAGTATCAATCTTCACCATGAGCTGCCAATATCGGCATCAGCAGTGTCTCTGCTAGACAGTTCCTGCTACTGCTGTACCAAGTACACTGCTACATTCAGATCGGTCGGTATAATTCGCGATACCCTGCCAAATCAGCAATTCAGATTCTCCATGAGTCATTCGCATCTCCACTTTTGCATGGCTGCCTGTCATGTAGTTGCGAGTCACTATATAATTTGTCTTGTAGTAAGCACGGCCCAGATAAATAGCCGTTAAGCCCTCTCGGATCACCGCTTACTCTGTTTTCAGCACACCTACCGGTGACTAAGGATGCCATGCAAGTAGGAAGTGTGTCACTACTGTTCCCCACGTGAGCCTGAACATTCGGCTGTGTGTATACTATACTATGTAGCAGCTATCTGCAAGCTGATAACTTGAGATCAATGTCTGCAAGTGCCATATATAACACATAAGTGAACCGCTCTCAAACAGGTACGTCGCGCTCATCAGCCAGCCCGTTCCCAGCTACAGCTTCATCGAGGCCTGCATGGGCCGTTTCTTGCCGTTCCTATTCATAGCCTATATGCTCTATCTCTACGGTGGCAAAACCGCTATCCCGCCCCCCACGCACATGCTGGAGCGGTTTGCCTTGTACTGGTTTCCCGCATGGTTTTTTGTCCACATGAACTACCTGACGTTCATCTTCCCCGATGAGGATATCACCGGTGGTGAGCAAGTGGTGACGGATGACGGTGGTATCGCTGTGGTGCAGCCGCCTGTGTCCTGGAATCCGCTGGCGATCACTCTGATGGTTGCGGCGTGTAGTATAGCACTGGTGTGTGTCGTGAAATTCGTGGCGTGCACTACATCACTGGAGGTTGTCCTGTTTTGATAAAAGGTATTGGGTGTAAAATGAATGCATGCCTTTTGGAGACCCTTTCTTAAAGGTACTAGTTGTTGTTATTGTTTATATTTCGGTGTATTTTGCAGCTTGAAGGTGCTTCCTATGCACGATCTAATTCTGCACAGCACTAGTGTGTGTTCCTGCATCACACTGTTGTTTTAGTTCCAGTTTTATGCAGTTATGTTTTGAATGCGGTCTTGCCTTCCCTTCTAAGCTGCTAATATTGAATCTGGCGACATCACGGTTTCTGTCGCGTTCCAAATAATCCTAGTCAGCTAACTAGACAGACATCTCTCTAATAGTTGGCGTTTCCCACTCCGGAAGTTGAGCATACACTACGTATTATTCACAGTGATCCTGCGTTTAGAAGCTAGATATGTATGTCATTGCGCTCAAACCCTACGCCTGAAAGGGTGCAGATGCTCAATCGGTGTGAGCGTATCCATTAGCTGGTCTTTGCTAGCTTCCAGCATTCTGCATATCTTGCATCTTTCCACGATATCACAGTCCGTATTCGCCTGCTATTTCTCTGCGTGTATGCATACTCAGTATTTCTTATGTAATTGGCATACGTATAGCTCTATGTCGTCCTCCTTTCATACCTATTAATGCCGGTTCATATTCAGCCCCTATTTCATTTGTGGATCCTCCCCTCCCCATCTCCCCACCCATTCCCTTTCAAGTGTCTCAGTTTCAATACACTCCACCCTACAGTTTCTGCTTTACAAACTGTTCCGTGCTATCTGGCGGTCCGGTCGGACACTCCCATATCTCACGGGATATATCAGTGCACTAGCTGTGCTTATACTGTTTGCGGTAGCCGTATCCAGTCAGTACTTTGTGCACCTGCATCACTACCAACTGGGTATGGCGATATGGCCTATCACAGCATTCTCCATGGGCCCTGCTGCGTTTGCGCAGGTAAGCACTTTGATATGTAGGAACGTCTGAAGGTATAGGAATATATGTGAAGTGGGTACGAGACTGATTTTCTAGTTCTTAGTCCTGTACTGTTGCGCCAGAGAGTCGACTTGTACTCCGGAAGGTCTAAGGATCGGTATGTATACAAAACGTTTACGATTGCATATTCATCCGTGTGCCATGACTATGAGTGGAAACCCAGAAGGGTGCCTACTCACATCCGATGATATGTACTCTTTGTCTACTGAGATTGGCGTAGTCAAGGTCCAAGCATGTACATGCACCGCACATACTTTAAAGATTCCAACATCTTTTGCACTCTAAAAATCCTCTAACCTACATATATACCTCTAAACAACCATATCCACATGACTGTCCCGCTCCATATTTTAACCCGCGGGCTCCTGCGTGCGCGCGCTTGCAATCCCACAATAGAATCCTACAACCGCACAAATGTCGACCCGCGTATCCAGCGTGCACCCACACATAGTGATGCACAGATATACAAACACTATTCAGATCGGAAATCGCCACACATACTTTCCTGGATACATTATCAGACACGTCGTTTCAGAAACACACACATACCCTCTCTCTCACTTGCAAACATCCCCGCCTTCTCGTATTTACAAAGATACACATGTCCTAGACCGGTTTATATCACATGCACGGTGCCTGTGTATTAAAAGATCCGCATGACTTCTAGTTTACACATAATTTTGACCGACACTGCTGGCATGGTAATAACATTAAATGTGCAAATGGCACCGGATTACTTTATATACGGCAGCTTTTCGCTAGATACTGGTTCACAGATATTGTCACTTGTGTGCAAACCTTCTTCAAAGAATTGTACTCGACAGATGACTACCAGCATGTTATTGAAAATGATGCTACTACACCTGTTCAGAACGTCATCGCCGGTTGCCCTTAATCATATGTTTGGTTATGTGGTTGTATATATATATACATAATCAATCAAGAATATAATTCATTCTCCTTAATGTGGTGGTCCGCACACAGTAACCGCGCCACATGTTGTTGTGACGTACTTTATGCATACACACCCTTAGACATTCATAGTGAACATTTTTACTCCTCATTGTCTTAATCCAGAGCATCATGGCTGGATTATACATCCAAGGAGTCGCCAGATGGGGATTCGGGTCAACCTTCACATACACGGGCTATAGGCCCAAAACTCCGGATTTTGTAGGCAATATAACAATCTCGAACGAAACTACCGATGGAGCGCTAGTTGAGTGGCCGGCTGCTAACTATACGATCGCCCCGGTGTATTCTGTGGTAAGAAATTGTTCTATATTGACAACATAGACTTATGTGAGTGTCATAGTGATTTCAATGACAGTAAATTTCATGTATGGTGCATGTGCAAACTTCAAAAGTCTGCTGATACTACACCTTTCTGCGTGAATTCGTGTATTGTATTGTATAATATGGCACTTGGTGGTTTATGGATATATGACTACATCTGGAGGTCATCTACGGTTACTTGTAAGGGATTTTGACACGGTTGCAAATTTGTGTGTCAATAACTAAACTTCGTAGCTACGTACAGCTTTTATCCAAAGCTGCAGGTATTCACCTTAAATGACAAGTTTACAATACGACAATACCCCATGACTCTTAATTTTATGGCTACAGATCTTTAATAAAGTTCACATACTCTATATTTGTATGAGCTAGTTATCGAAGCTGGAAAATATGACCATCACTTGCACCTTTTATAATATATGTGTTTGAGTTATCGGTGCTTGCCCGATACCTCTTTCTTTGCCAGCTCTTTGTCAGTTGTATGCCATCTGTATTGTTTGGGGACAATGCATGGTGAGCAACTTGTACGGAAATTTATGTCCGGTATTGAATGTTCGGTCCGGTTGCCCTATACACAGGTGGTGAATACAATTGAAATGTGCCGAGTCACTGACACGCAGTGCCGGATAAGTGGCCTTCTCCCCGGTCTGTCGTACCACGTTTGCGTCCGGAATGTAGTTGAAGGCTACGAAGGAAGCTGTGAAGGTAACCAGAGGTTCAATACAACGGCGGCACCTGACTTGTAGTTGTGGTACAGGTATTTATAGCGGCACCTGACTTGTAGTTGTGGTGCAGGTATCTATAAACTAGGATCAATTAAAGTATACTCCATATTGAATCTTCGGGTGTAACGGTCTTCTTGCGATGCTTGTTCTAATTTGCCTGGACTGTAAGGGGTCGACCATATACATAAAGTATTGCATGGACCGTGCACTTACCAAACAGCATGATATCCACTTTTAATCATGGTAAATTACTCCGCCGGCAATAGTGACCATTTCGTAGACTGTCCATATCGTTTTGCGCTTTTTGTTTTGAAGGAGGCTGATGTTTGGCCTATCCATAATATGCCTTACAGCCACATCCCATATAATCAAATATGTCGAAACCTGGTATAGTAGTATTTCACTGTTGACTTGACAGCTACAGAGTATTGTTGTGTTTCCATTGTACAACAGAGAGTCTAACTGCTCCAGGGACATCCGTTGGCGCGGGAAACCCCTTGGTTTACGTGTATGTGCCGGCTAGATGACCCTGTGCGTGCGATAGTTGCGCCTATACCCTCGTCCACCCGGCCCAGGGCCGTTGTTCGACCGCGTTGCGAAATATATTGAAGAACACGTTCCTATCACGCTGGAACAGGAGTTGCTTTCCCTTTCGTCCGATACACGTCGAGCAACGATGCACACACCTAGACTTGTCTCATGGGCGTGTCCACGTGATAGACGCTATCACGGACTAAAACCCTAAAACCCTTTGGTCTCACCTGTGAAACTAGCGTCGCCGTGGAGGATGATTGGGTCCTTCAATCATCTCTATAACTTGCTGAAGTTACGGATAGTAGCAGCGGTGACTTTGCCCTCGCGGTGTTGGACGCGAATCTTAGACTCGGACTCTGACACTTTTCAGTCGTTGAGGGTAAAAGCGCGTGATATCGCATGTATTGTGGAAGCCATTGGACACGAAAACTTGATGGTTTTCTGTATATATATATATAATTTCTTACTGTAAATTTCCAAACTTGCATCAGGCAAGATATTCTAAACCATCATGAACTCCCAGAAAGAACTTTTTTAGTGATAAAAGACGTAGTAGCTGAAGAGTGCGGAGAATGAGTGCGTATTTCAGTAGACTAATAGGTGAAACTGGTGAAACCAGTTTTGTTGACGATCGATCATATTTGATATTCAACCAAGTTATACCCGCAGACACCTTCTTTTACAGAAATCTACACTGATATTGTAAACATATACATATAGTTGCTTTCCATGATTTCAAAGCCGTTTGATTGCATAACGACGCTGCAATTTAGGAAAAACAATCACAGTTCGGAAAACATAATGCACAGTCAAATTTGAACCCGATATATATATATATTGATATAATAAGTATTTTCGCTTAACGCAGACAAATTCTTATAAAGTTATATTTAAAAAAACACAAATCTGTTGCAGATCGATAGAGCAACTCTTAAAGTTCAATCATAGGCCATTCGACTTAATAATTAATCGTACATATGCACAATCACAATACCTATGGACATATTCTGCCAGAAAACTATGCGAATACTAAATATATATTGTTGAACACTTAACTTTCGTATTATGTGTGCTGCTGAAATCCGTTTGCTTGCTGCTGACCCATTGATTGATAAGCGTATAAAAACGTGTATCAATGGCTGTTATTTTAATTTCTCCCTTCCGATATCTCGTTGAACTTCACCTCGCTGTGTATCAAATTATACTGGGTACCCTAGTTTTACTGAGTGTTGTTATTGTAATTTGGCACGCGATTCATATTTATATAGACTTGCAAAATAGTATTTATGTCTAAATGGGTCATGGGCGTGCGTTAACTATAGTCAAAAAGCGGATTCATTTAACTAGGCAGTCTATGGAGTTTTGCCATTTCATGAGAAGCCAGCTTCCGACGCTGTATATGGTTGTTTTTAATATCTTTTAATGTTTTAATTACCTCTTGCCGATCCGAGAGTATTTTTGCTTCGAGTGAGAATGTTCCAAGATAAGAAAATAATGTCTTTGTTCAAGAATATGTCTTTGTACATTCGTGTTGTGTGACTGGATTATATGGTAATCCAATGCTTTGTTTGAATCATATTACCAGATTCCACCTTTGCCAAGATCAATTTTATCTAAGAAACGCCTATCTCATGCCGCCGCTTTCTGAATTGATAAAAAAAATTGAAGACGACAGGAAAATTGAAGCGCTTTCAATAGCACCTTAAGCTGAAAAAAAGCTATACAGATAAATGGTTTATTGTACACATATAGCGTTGTAGTTTAATAGTGCCTCGTTTTAGTTAGCTACGATTTTTTGATGTATTAATTGGCGACTAAGAATTGGTTTATCTGGCTACTTTTCGTTTTAGTTGGTTGCCAATTTGTTGCGGTTAGACGGCCGAAATACTCGATAAGCATGGGTCCATTGATGGGACAAGGAGGTCTCAGAGATATCTATCAGAAGAGGCAAGGCGTGAAATGGGGATGGACGCGTTATATGAAACGGCCTATGAGGACTGTAGAACGCTAGCCACAGCTATCATGGGTGGAGTTGAGAATCGCCGCGAAGAAGACGTATGCGCTGGTATGGGAGTCTTTAGGGGTTTTCAACAACAACAAAAAACCCCTACCGATCGAGCAATCAGAATACCAGATACAATGTCGTCAACTAGGGAACTTTCACATCTGAATTCACACTTAAGGACGAAACTGGAAACCCTTGAAGGTGTCAATAATACAGTCAACTCCGCCGAGGAGAAGTTAAAGCAGCTTGAATTCGATATAGAAGCCGACGAGGCTTTAAAATCTATACGACAGAATGTGAAGGAGGCTAAAAGTTCCCTCGACGCTACAAAAACAGAAGAGGCAAGGCGTGAAATGGAGATGGACGCGCTATATGAAACGGCCTATCAGGACTGTAGAGCGCTAGCCACAGCTATCATGTTTGGAGTTGATAAGCACCGCGAAGAAGACGTATGCGCTGGTATGGGAGTTTTTAGAGGTTTTCAAAAAAATCAAATCCCTACCGATCTTTGATAAAGGAGAGTTTGTCTCTATAACTACCGGGGTTTTGTAGATGCTTACGACTATGTTGTAAAAAATTACTCACCGACGGAAGCACTTTCAACTATTCTCACGGAATTTTGTAGTCGGCTGGATGGTGTTGCTGCAACGGGTATATATCGATCCCGGAATTAACGACCGATTTGGTTGAGGCACATGCGATTGAGTGTGATAGTATAACAAACACGGGGACAGTTGCAACCGGTCATATAGTCCCGACAACAATAAATTCAATCCCGATGGATAATTTCTTACTAACTTATCGCCTTTAAACGGGCACTTTTACACCCTCTCGACAAAATATCTCATCCGGCATGTCTTCATCGGACACCATTTTTACTTATAACAAGGTATTTAATAGGGTGCAATGTTATGGTCGAATGTGAATAACAAACACCACAGATACGGGACAAAGGGTTCTTATTTTATTATAACTATGAACAATGAAGATAGTAAACAACAAGACCATAATTGTATCGTTAAACACAATGTCGGCTATAATTTCATAAATATGAGGTTTTATTTTGCTCATACATATCACCACTGGATAAACCTTAATTACTTTTATATATCTTCAACATGAATAAAAATTTATAATTTCAATATAAAACGATGAGATATCAAATAAAACAGTTGAAAATGAAATTGAAATAAATTTTACGAATAACTATCCTGATTGGAAAACATACTACAAGAGAACGAGAAATGCTTTATATGCGAGAGAGTATTATTAACTGAACTGGGAGACCATTATGGGGTGAGACAGGCGGAGAAACAAAAGGCACGACGGGAAAGGAAGAAGGAACAGAAGAGGAAGAGAGAGAGAAGGTCGGCCGCCACCGTGTGGTTGATATTTAATCTAAACAATACTGATTTTCAATTCTTTTAAAAACCTCACATCTATAATAAAAAGAAGAGAAAGAATGACAGTCCCCAAATTAACAATGACCCACAAAAAATTAGGCCAGAGACAAAAAGAAATGAAAAATCACAAGAACTATATGAGACCAAAACGAAGTTTCGAGGGACAGTATGATGAAAAATTGAAGAAGAAGAGTGAGACACATATTCGATTGGCCGAAAAAGGGATAGCGATAACATTATTTATTTCAATTTGGATAAAGTTTAATATGTATCAGGCTTCAAAAGGGAAGTTGAGATTGTCGAACTGCCGCGAGAAGCTCGGGGCGAGTGATGCAACAATGGAAGGCATACTGTGCGTTAGTTCACGGCGATGGATACAGAATACCTCTACCCTTGGGTGAGAACTATAACCTGTGTGCCGTTGCGTGAAATAAAGCTGGCCCACACTTGTAATGGTAATATGACCTGAATCGGTCTGGGATATTTACCAAGGAGGGTGAGGTTGTCATCCGCAATTCCGGTTCGGAGCGAAGTTGGGAGCTGTCCGATACCACACCTCACAACTGATGTATTTGGGATATCCTGGCTAGCCATAGCGGGAAGTATCATATGTGGTACCAGAAGTCTCGAAGATTTGGTATTGACCGAAATCTGGAAATAGTTCTTCAGTAAAGTGACAAGACGGAGTATGGGGAACATCAATCTATCGACTAGTACTGGATGGAAATCAATTGGTGTCTGTTGTTCAAGGAGAAGGAAGCTCCCGAGACGTTCATGGAGAGTCCATATGCCGTGGTAATCATGCCGACCCTGTGGTTGTTGTAGTAAGTAAGAAAATAATAAAGCCATTAATATCGACCCCACCCCTATAAATATTTTGAAAGTCACCCCAATTCAAATGGAGGAAAAGGAAGACGAGGTTCAGAAGAATGATAGAAGAAAGGAAAGAAAACCGCAGAGAAATACCCCATGTTGAAGAATGTTTTTGAGACATTCCAGAGTAACGAAAATATGAAAAACTGAAATCGGCCGTAAATAGACTTTATATTGGTATGGGTTTGGGCGACGAAGGACTTCAAATGATACAAATGTGAATTTTTACAGGACACACAGGATGTGGTAGGAACGATAGAAAAGTACCCTCAGGGCGGTAGAGTTAATAGATTTGCATCCGTTGCCAAGGTTTTGACTTTGGTCTCAAGTATCAAAACATTATCACCTCGCTTGAAAACAATATTTTTTCTGATGCCAAAAGTACCGAACTTAAGTTCATCACATCGTTGACCATGCATAAATAGACTTTATATTGGTATGGGTTTGGGCGACGAAGGACCTCAAAATGATACAAATGTGAATTTTTAGAGGACACACAGGATGTGGTAGAAACGATAGAAAAGTACCCTCAGGGCGGTAGAGTTAATAGATTTGCATCCGTTGCCAAGGTTTTGACTTTGGCCTCAAGTATTAAAACATTATCACCCCGCTTGAAAAAAAAACATGATGTCAAAAGTACCGAACTTAAGTTCATCACATCGTTAACAATGCCCATGTATTTAAACTTTGACTGAACAACACTTTAACAATAGAACAATACTTCAACAATAAAATAAAGAAAAATATATACTTGCCTTGTAAATTGTTGTACTTAATTTACCCATACTTATCTCTTGATTGCTGTGATCCCTGATTGCTGTTTGCTTGACTTGTATTCTTTTCGATAAATGCCTTTCCAACGAGAATTTACGACTTTTGAACTTAAGTTTCGACTCCGGGGATATGCATAAATACACTTTACCATGAACAACGGTGCGCTCGAGCCGTATACTTAGGTCCCTCTAGCTCTCAGAGGATAAATGCCAGCAAGCTACCCATATATGGGTATATTCTTCCTATTTTTTTCAACCTGTCACAGTAACAGTGTGTAGTGCTTCAGCTTGGGGAGATTGTAGTCGGAATTCCCATATACAGGGTAAACTTAGTTTTATGACGGTTTTCTTAGGATTTGATAAACCTGGTTTTTGATTCGATCCGTTTGGGACGAACACATGACTCATTAGGAGAATCTAATAGCTATAATTTAATCTAATGAAGACGCGACGTCTCCCTGCGCATTCAGGGAGACCGTTCAGATACAGTTATTGAACGAGTACTTACCACAAACAAACAGGCAACAAACAGGCAAAAAAAAGGTATCAACCCCGCTACAAACATATTGCTAGCCGACGACACTCGATAGCCTGCGCGATCATTTATTGAGGAAATGATTGGCTGAGTCAGTTTAAGCGATAGTATATAACAATATATGCACATGATAATATATAAAATGCTTATAAAGTACAATGTGATATAGTTGCATGTATATACAATATACAAACAGCAAATCGATGAGATCACAAGACTACAAATTTAGTAGAAGGCTTAAACAAAGAAGTATCAATCACGGACGTAATGGAACTATGTAGAGTTCCATTTGCCGTGAAAGAAGTGAACGAAGCTTATTAAGAGCAGTGACAACCTGTGGCGTTGCTATTTCCTGCATCACCATGTATCTACTTGCTGCCGTTGTGATTTAAATAAATCAATAGTGCTGAGTGGCATGTGTATTTATGTCAATAAATAATCACAAAGTTATATTATATTATAACTATATTCAATTACCTGATTGTGTCTGCGAAGATCGAGGTGTCGTTTATTCGAATACTCAGTATGCTTCACCCGCCATCGATTACAATCCTCTGATTGAAAGATATCAGGTTTGAAGATACGTAGATCTGTAATCGTAAGAAATCAAGGTGAGTGAGTGTGTCACTATGCTATGTACTTATCAATATCTGTAACAAGCCTACGGTGTTAATAGATGTCCGATTACATACTTGGATAATGCACCTAAACTACACTACAGTCAATACACTACACTACACTACAGCCCATGCATACACTACACTACAGACCATACACTACACTACACTACACTACAGACCATACATACACTACACTACACTACAGACCATATATGCACTGCACTACATACCATACACTAAACTAAACTACAGACCATACACTGCAGTCTTCGACCAGTGTTTCTCTTAACCATATTAGAAAACGTCCGAACTGATAGCCGTCGATTGCTCCGCCACTTTCTATCGCCCTTTGTTTCTGCACTGCTGAATACACCTTTGAATCTTTCCTTTGAATCAGTCGTGTCGGCACGTTCATTGTCTGTTCGGGATAAATACATTGTGCTCATCCTTGTTACGTGAACATCCGACATCGCCGTCATAGCGTCTGTCGCCAAGTCTTCAAGATAATGCTTCATAATACATTCAAGTCCCACTTTCCTTGGGATCGGATGCCGCTTTCGCTGGCTCCCATTTCGGAATGATTAAGGTATGAAATTTCATGCAGGTGTTAGTGTGAATAGAAATGTTGTGTATATGTATCCTATAGAATCTAAATCACTTACTTTGCTACACGTGCTAAGCCGCGGCATACATGCGTGTTCTTGTTCTTCAGGAGATCAGCATGACCCACGTCTTGTAGCACTCGCTTCACCACCGTGGCTAGAAGAGCTCATCGGCTGTGAAGTGTGTATGCATTGTTAGTGAACAAGATATATATGTTGGTATAGGCACTAAAAGATGCACATATGCGCGCGTTTTGGTGTGTCCTAATTTATCGTACGTTCTATTGTTTGCGCGTCCTCTAAGGATAATGTACTCATCCTGCCAGCTGTCATCTTCAGGATCAGTTTTGTGACCGTCAATCTTCATTTCCTCGAAAAAATAATATAGACAACGCTGTCCATGCGCATATGAGCGCATTCTGATCGTGATACAAGTATGCAAACTCATGTATCCCAGTTCCATCAGTTTTGTTTTCATTGATCACTGCTACTAAGCAGTCGTACTCCTGTATCATGCTATCATTCGCCTGTGATAGAAATGAGTTGTGATTGCATACAGATGGTAGTGCTCCTACATAATATCATGTGTAGTTAAATTAACAACACTGACCAATTGTATGCAAATGTAATATTGTATGCAAATGTAATCTCACATACCTTTTATATACTGCAACAAACAGAAATCGCGCTTCTGGAATTTTCTAACAGATAATCCGCTGTAGAGCAATTTGTGGGCGAATGTATGCATGCATGTATTTCGAGCTGAATCTGATGTTTGTACATTTTGTCTACTACGATCTGATGCTGTTTCATATTATATAAATTTTGCAAGGTATCTAAACCGCGACTAGTCTTAGATTGGCGCACTCTTTCTGCGGTCTTCTTTTTATATTTCATAATAACGCCACCTACGCAAGCCAGTCCAGTTCATCGCCTGTACATCCTACGAGCCTTGCAAGCGCATGGAGACTCCATTAACGTTCCTCCAAAGAACCAGATGTATAGTCTTTGCGAACGCCTGCAAAATTCGAGTAAAATGAATAAATTGAGTATATATACGGCTAAATATATATGAATCAAACGTTTATTATAAAAATATCTTATACTTTTCAGCTGATCAGCTTGAATGTATTGCACGCATGTGCACGTATCTGTGAACACGTCTTCTTTAACCTCGTTCGTCTGGATGTGACTCGTAAATATGCGCTATGAAGCATTCCTTGTGTATACCCTGGTGACAAATACTGCACTGGTCTCCTATTCGAACTTTCTTCCTCGCACAGCCTTTATATTTGCAGTTCTTTCGGTCGGTTCGTAGACCGAAAACAACCACCCCATCCTTATTCCTCCTCTTCTCACGTTTTAGTTCCTCAATGAGGCTTGCGTGTGTCCCAATACCCGATAAAGTCGCTTCTGGTCGCACCGCAACAGTAGCTGTTATCGAGCGTGTGACGCGTGCTTCGTATGTATTGTTCATGAGCTCTTTGAAAAGTATCTGACAATACGTTCGCTGGTCCACTGGAGTCCTTTCTGCTGGTGAGGGTGTACCTTTGTATAGGAGCCATGAATCTACTATACACATTGCAAGCAGTGTTGTACCAACTCTTTTTTTCCCAACTTCTCACATCTAGTTTTTTTCTTCTATATTGAGTGTATCTTGACGGTATCTGTTGTGCCTACCTACAATATCACTAAAGGAAAAATACTGTTTGACTAGCTGAGGTTGTCGACAGCGCACTTCTTTTGAAATAACACTGTTTCCATCGTTCTGTACCCTTTTACGTGATATTGTTCTGCCCTCTTTGGTTGTGCCATACGTGTTGATGAAGTATTTTCGATTTCTGTTTGACCACACTGTAGCCGAGTATTGGTTGTCATCTTTATCTGTAGTCACCATCGATGACCAGTGCCCTTCACAACCAGACAACTCTTCCCTGCTCAACACCTTCATCGGAAACATTTTAGTAGCTGTCTTCATAACACCTGTGAAATGAGGGCCTTTTGCACGTAGTGCAGCAGCCTTACACTGCGTGTCCGGTCCCAAAGTATTTTTGTACGAGTCGTAAGGTTGTTGCGGTGCCATGTTGGTGGTCGTCTTCGTGCTCGCGTGCACTGGCTACTGTGGATTGCACTAACTCGAGTTCTATGAGGAATTGACCATGGCCACAACAGTTAGTCCATATCTCACAACCAGCTTCCAGTTTTCTGTCCAAGGCTACGTAGTGTGGAAGACCAGTATTTAACCATTGTCCTCCTAAGCCATACCAGCGGCTCATACACTCATCAACATATATGTCGCTACTCGCCGTGATCGTGTGGTCTTTTTGCTCGTTGATTGCGTCTACGAATCCGTTTACAGGCGACCAGAGATGATCCTGATAGTTGGGATTGATGTCGTCTGTTGTTTTCTCGGCAAACTGCAATGTAGACAAAGTACCGTAGACGGGTGTTTAGGACCGGACCAGAGGACCGAACCTAAGGAAAATATTTAGGACCGAATCAGAGGCTCGGGCCTAAGAGGATTTTATTGAAGAACGGACCCGAGGATCGGACTGGATTTTATAATATATAAGTTAGTGAGAAGAATGATGACTCATCAGGTATCATCATTATTTAGTATCTAGGAGACCATAATCTTAGATACGGAGATTTTCACAATCTGCCGTTGTTAGAGAAAATCTCGTCCCACATAGGAACGTGATTAATAAATACAGCAGACGCGCCGTTCATAACTGTAAGTTTCGGTCTATCAAGACGATATTAACACCTTAAAGTAATTAAACGCGTAGGTAAAATCTAAGTATCGTGAAATTCAAAGTAAATAAACGAAATGAGACTTTTAGTAAAGTTAGGTATGCCTCGTGAAAACAGCAATACTCTGAGGGATTGTGAGGCTGAGACATTGCCTAAATATAATCCTCTCAGTACTGTTTTCGCCGAAGGGATTTTATTTAGTGTTTCGTTGTCGCTCTATTAGAAACTACAGTATGTTTCGTTGGGGGCGAATCCGAGAGACTCATAAAATCCTATCTTTAGAAGAAGAATTTTTTTTACTCCTGATGTCCTTAGTTATTGCATTAACCAATAACTTGTCACTTATCAAGAATTACCGACTTAGCCTTCATCAGACTGGCACATCTGGTTGGCTGATCGGAGGATAAACTAGGTAACGTTAATAGTCCATAGAAACCTATGTTCGGTTGAGCCATCTCGCTACCGAAGTATTCAGATATAAATAAAGTTGGAAAGTAAATATAGTTCTATTAATAGAACTAGACTAAATCTTATGTTTTGTATTTTACTGGAGCCTTTTAATGAAATGGCCTTGTCCAAATATCTGATATGTAAAATGGAAAAGGTATTAACTAATAAAGCCGTTAAAAACCATTTAGGAAACTTAAGTTCCTCGTGCTATTGAGAGTACGTTTATAGTTTACGTACTGCTTAAGAGTACGTTTATAACATAGAGTCTAATGTGGAGGCCCAACTATTAGATAACGGCACTTCTGACTGAGTTCACTTATTCCAGACTTAACACTTTTGACTAAGCGCAACTCGGTTTTGACTACATTTTTAAGTGACCGAACTACTGTATTTATTACACTGCGTTCTTAGAAGGTTAAATCAACTAAGAAGCAACTTAGTTTTATTTATTTATTTTTTCAACGATGACGGGACCCAAGCCTAGACCGTTTCCTACGGTGGGTAAGCAAGCCTGTGACCAGCTGCTGAAATGGTTGATTGGAGCACTTCGCCGGTTAACAGTGCTACGCAAAATGGTGGAGACAGCACTTGCCAAAGAACCTGCATCCGAAGACGATAAGAAAGTGGAAATCCATGTGGAATTGACCCGTTTACTATCGGAGGCCCTGTTCTCAATCGAAACCTTGGACAGGCTTAGACAATCCTCAGAGTGGATTTCTGATCACGAGGGACACTTGAATGCGCTGATGCATGTGCAGGAAGCCACGGAAAAGATTACTCTCGTTCAAGAGCAACTCCACCAACTCCGTGAATTGTCACTGGCGGGTATTGACACATCTACGCCCCAGGACTCGGACCAGGCGAAAGTGGATGACGATTTTTCGGAGCCTCAGGTCGTGCCAACAGTGCAACAACATTAGGCTCCTCAATACCCAATGCAGGCAGGGCCGACACCCACCATCCAGTTACCTGACAACGGGGCTAACAACATGAAGCAAATTAGCCCGGTGAAACGTAGAATTGGACGTACGAAGCCTGTACCTCAGGTGGCTCCTCGTGATAATGTCCATGTCACTCGTAGATAGCGGTTGTTGAAGAACGCTCAAAATCGGGCAAAAACAATTCCGATCCCTGATGAGATACCGCCTAATGGGCCGGATTGGTATCAGGCATAGAAAACTTTGGTGAAGTCGCCTGATAGAATTTTTTTTGGAACCTGCGGATTTACACTTGGACATGGACACTCCTCGGAATTTATCGTCGTCGGCGAAGCGTTCCTTTGGTGCCTTCCGCAGAGTAATGAAGTCTCCGCAGCAACAGATGAACCAGAGTCACGTGGCAACGAACCACTTTCGTGATAAGTTGCAACGTCACCGTAAACCACGTTCACCAGAAGAGTTACAAGAGAATTCTCAGGATGCGGCGAATGTCCCTATTGATACGATTCCATACCGCAAACACCTTCCTGTTCATCACGACCGCTACTTGGAAGACCCACAGGCAGTGAAACGTCATAAAGACTCGGAAATTACGGAGCCTAGTATTACTGCATCGACAGCGGCAGAGATGAAAATGCAAGTTTTCAACTGACCCAACGGATGATGCATGCAGAAGCAGACGGACGCATAGACGATGCGCGTGCGCTACAGGGTCTAATTCGTGCGTCGAATGAGACTCTGAAGACGTGTTCAATAACGGTCGACAAACGAACACCGAAGGAATGGCCACCCAACCCACAGGGCAATTATTATTTGGACAATCCGCAGAAGATACAGTTACATGCTTTTATCTTGAACTCGCATAAGAATGCGCGATTCCACAAGCTAGAGCCGATTCACATGCTAATGGGCTTACACCGAGCTCTACAGCATGAAGGGGCTCCTAAGGCGCTATTGGATTTTATTGTGGAAAACGAGCAAAAATTACAGTCTATGACATTTGAAGATGCCACTGCATTTATTGTACGTACACAAGAACAAGACCTGGAGGATAATGCATACCGCCAGGTATTAGCATGCATGAAGCTGAAGCCATCGGTACCGCTTGATACTCAGATTCGTGATTTTGAACGCCAGGTGGAGTTCATGGAAATGCGACAGTATGAGAACCCTCTACAGGTACACCGCAACCATGGTATACTTAATATTATACGCCAAGCTGCAGGTGGAGCGTACTACCGGGATACTCTTCGAATGTATCCACAGTGGCGAAACTACTCGTCTGAGAAGATGCGTGATATATCCCGTGTGAACATTGACAAAGCAGAAGAAAATCGCCAGGACAAGTTTTCGCGACCTCGACGAATTCCGGGGAACTCGCGATCACGTTCAAATTTGCGTACGGAGGCGAATACACGCGCTATCCCGCATGCACCGTCTACGTCGAACCCACGGGTTCGTTGTCGATCATGTGAGCAAAACATTCCGCCGGGACCAGGACATGCAAGTCGTTGTCCTAACTTACAACGGGTACCGGTCCAGGCTAGCACAAGTAGCCGCACACAAAATGGTGAGGCTACAGTTCAACGTACATCGGCTACAAGCACATCGACACGCGGGGCTCACGGATCGGGTACTAATTTCCGACCTCGTGTTAACTTAGTGGACGGTGATATTATGCCTGATCAACCAACCACCGAGACAGGGGTGACTGAAGTGACGCACATTCATGACTTGGTCGATGAGTAGTATGTGCAGAGTGACGATGAGTTGATGGAAGAAGAGCAGACACCCGACGGCTGGGAAGTTGGAACAGACTCGGATTGTCAGGCTGGGGTGCCTGATGTGAACATGTGCATGTCATTTGGTCGTACGGCAACAAGAATATTTGCAGTAAAAGATAAATTGTTTCCTACTGACAACCGTGTATATGTTACTTTACAAGTGTACGGACATGACATGCGCACCCTTATTGACACGGGGGCCAATCGTCCAGTCATCACTCAGGCATCCGCGGTTAAGGCACACCTCTCTATTACGCCACCGGCCAAGGATAGTTACATATACTTGGTGGACAAAGCCTTCAGGACTTCACGTTTGGGCAAAACACAAGCAACAAAGGTCCAGTACGGGTCAGCTGCTACTGAGGGTTGTACATTTGAACTTGTGAACCTACCGGATAACATTGATATAATACTAAGTATGGATATTATGGGTGAGTTGAGATTAGGCTTAACCGGATTGGTATCTCCATTTCTAGAGATCAATCGTAATGTTATGGATAAACTACTGGAACCAATCAATCTTCGAATGGCCCCAGACTTGTCCGAGCCAGATGATATACGCGCACGCTTACGCCAATACCTGGATGCTACTGACACTATTCTGGATGCCGCTCGCTGCACACTCCCGGGTAGTAAGGTGTCACTTCCTATTCCTCGGGATAAACTCCTGCGCTTACGTCGGCAGACAAGAAATTTTGTATCTGACGAATACAAACCACATGTAACGAAGCAAGTACTCAAATGGGAACACGAATTGGTCACCAATCGTCGAACATCGGTGTCGATTGTTAACTTTTTTTGTTGGCAGTACCGTCATTCACACCGTCGGGTGAACTTATTAAGGTGCGCGTGTGCTTGGACTTGCGGCTTATTCCGGGCGATCAGTTTACGCTTCCGAAGGTCAACGAGATCATTAGCAACTTGAAGGTCAAGCGATACTATACCACGTTGGACTTATCGGCCGCATGCCATCGGTTACCGGTGCACATCGATTCGCAGCACATGTTTTCGTTTACATGGGATAGTCAGCAGTACTCGTTTACGTCGGCTCCCTTTGGATTGACGACACTCACGTCATAATTTCAATGCACAATCAGCAATTTGATGGCGGGACTGGACGTGCAATGCTATGTTGATGACCTAATAATTGCGTCAGTCAACTACGAGGAGCACATTGCTACGGTTCAAGAGGTCGTTTGACGCCTGACGGAGAATAACTTCAAACTTAATCAAAAGAAATGTCACCTTGCGGTGCGAGAGGTGATGGTCCTGGGAAAGAAGAGATCAGTTAAAGGCATTGACGTGGATCATGAGAAACAGCAACGTTTAATTGACCGGCCAGTTCCACGATGTCAAAGGGATATTGCCTCTGCGTTAGGATTAGCAAACTTCTTACATGAGCATCTACCTAACTTTGCACACAAGGTAGCTCCACTCCGAACCGTTTCTAAACTTAAGCCAAAGGAGCCCATTGGAGATCGTTGGAAGCCAGAACATCAATTGGCGTGGGATCAGATGAAGGAGGCTATCATGTCGGCAGTCAGGTTGAACTTTCCTGTTGATGGTGTACCATTTGAGTTAAAAACGGATGCAAGCGATTATGGGATTGGTGGCGCATTGTTGCAATTGATTGACGGATGCAAACATTACCTGACGTTCTTCTCAAAAACTCTCAACAAGGCACAGCAGACATATGCAACCCCGATGAAAGAATTATTAGCACTTACCTATGCTCTGGTTCACATTCATGATCATCTCATTGGACAGCGGTTTACTGTACACACAGACCATAAGGCTCTCATATACATGAACGTTCAGCTGAAGCTGAATAGTATGTTACAACGATGGCATCATATTATTGCACAGTTCAATTTTACTATTACACATGTACCTGGAGAACTGAACAAGTTACCAGACATGTGGAGTCGTCTTCATGAGGGCACGGCGGATATCAACTACTCCGCGGTGTTCTATACGTCATGTTGGAAGTTGTTTCCGGATTTCTTTGACTAGATTCAGAAAAACTCCGGATTTCTTTGACTAGATCCAGAAACACTTTGGACCAAACGACGTCGACGCCTTTGCCTCGAGCCATAACGCTCAGCTTCGCCAACACTGGTCGTACGACAAGGATGGCGGGGCGTTTGAGTTTGACTGGGGCAAATACAACGCATGGATGAAGCCACCATTGTAATAGCCGGGCCTCCACATTAGACTATGTTATAAACGTACTATTAAGCAATACGTAAACTATAAACGTACTCTTAATATTACGAGGAACTTAAGTTTCCTAAATGGGTTTCAACGGTTTTATTAATTAATACCTTTTCCATTTTACGTATCAGATATTTGGACAAGGCCATTAAAAGGCCCCAGTAAAATACAAAAAATAAGATTTAGTCTAGTTCTATTAATAGAACTATATTTACTTTCCAAATCTATTTATACCTGAATACTTCGATAGCGAGATGGCTCAACAGAACATAGGTTTCTAAGGACTATTAGCATTGCTTAGTTTATCCTCCGTTCAGCCAACCAGATGTGCCAGTCTGATGAAGGCTAAGTCGGTAATTCTTGATAAGTGGCAAGTTATTGGTTAATGCAAAAACTATGGACATCAGGAGTATTTTTTCAAATATTTTCAAGATAGGATTTTATGAGTCTCTCGGATTCGCCCTAACGAAACATACTGTAGTTTCTATTAGAGCGACAATGAAACACTAAATAAAATCCCTTCGGCGAAAACAGTACTGGGAGGATTATATAAAGGCAACGTCTCACCCTCACAATCCCTCAAAGTATTGCTGTTTTCACGAGGCATACCTAACTTTACTACAAGACTCATTTCGTTTATTTATTTCGAATTTAACTATACCTAGACTTAACCTAATCGTTTAATTACTCTAAGGCGTTAATATCGCCTTGATAGACCGAAACTTACACCATGGCGTCTTATACATAAGGTGTTGCGTAAGGTGTTGCAGGACAAGGCGTCGGCAGCAATATGTTTACCGTTGAACACACGCGCACCATGGTTTGCGTTATTTCTGTCGATGATGCAAGTGGACCCGTTACTTATCCCACGTACGGCTCACACATTTTTGAAGCATGGCTCACAGGCTTGTAGTAAATACCCGTGCGAGCATACTATTGTGGTACGTATTGGCCCTCCATCTGGGTACAAAGTCAATCCATCGTTTTGGTGTGACTTAGGCTTGGAGGTACCTGTGTGTGAAGACGCTAGTACACGTTATCAAGAAATTGGGCACAACCGGTGATGACGAAACGAACGCGACAGATTGCTGCACAAATTCCTGAGATATGTGCGGGCGCTACAGTGATGAATCATCCAAGGCACGAGGAAGCGAACCGTCGTGTAAAGTTGACATGGCAATTTCATGAACAAGGACATCCGGCCCCAGCAGTTACAGTACAACAGATGCGGGATGATGGGCATAACTGGGAGCAGATGCTTCCAATCACAGAAGAGGTCCGCAAATTATGTCGCACATGCTTGGGGAAACGATACGATGAAGAAGGGATTTCATCCTTTAATGAATATTACCGCTCGGTACCCCTGGGATCACATACAAATGGATATCAATCCTATGGCGGTCACATCCACTAAAGGAATCCCACTAAAGGAAACAAATTTATTTTACATGTGCTTGATGTGGCGTCGGGTTACTCTATTCTACGGGCGATACCTGCGAAGGATGCAAAGACAGTGGCGGCAGAGTTAGTGTCAGTGTTTGGTGAGCATATATTTCCTCGTAAGATTCAAAGTGACGAGGGCACCGAATTTATAAACAATATTGTCAAATCCATCACACGAGCGTTGGGCATTACACACAAGACGTCCCAACCATACCGCCCGCAGACATTGGGCGCGGCAGAGCGCCGACATAAGGAAATCCACAAATGTGTGAGCGCATTGTGTGATGGTTGTCCGGAGTTGTGGAATGAACGTCTACCGTTTACTATGTTATACCAGAACCTTCGGATATCACGACGTCACAAGTCAGCACCATTCAGCGTTTATTTTGGTCGGCGACATGTCCCGTTTGTAAGCATGACTGATAACTTACCTGGTCATATTCCTACTACGAATGATGCATGGTTAATGAAGCTGGATGATTTGGAGAAAACTATCCTACCAAAACTTCATCAGAAAACAATTAAGTATACTGATGCCATGGCAGAGGCTACGGATCAGATGAGTAAGTTTGATTTGATTGAATTTAAGGCGGGGGACGTCATGATACTCGCACAGGGAGCGACGACCAAAGTCATGAAATCACCGCTTGGTCCGTACGTGATTCATAGTCGGGAAAATCAGAGTTACCATCTACGAGCAAAGGATGACAGCAAGCCGCCTGAGCTCAGAGACCGACCCGTGAATGTGGAGATTATTGGCTTGTCCATCGGGCTACGAAACCACCACTGGATGAATCTCTATGAAGAGAGAGAGGTTCGACATTTCGACAAATCATATCGCACCGTCATAATGAGGCGATTCAACAATCGGAATATTTGGTACGTTGGTTGGAAGGATCTCCTGCATGTGTGACAGCCGATGCTTTTGACGATCCCAACGTCATGCCCGCATATCGAAAACGGATTCAAACGCGCGAGAGCCGACGACAACGACGCCTGGTACAAGGTTAGAGCAGCCTGGGTCGATGGTATGTCTGGCCGAGGTTGCGTCATTGCTGCGTGCATGGGTGATGACAACATACTCATATAACCGATAGTAGATATTAGAAGAGTAATCTTCTTTTAATAACAGCTGCTATATATAGAATAGACACCTGTATTCGAATATATATTATACACGAGCTGCACAGATCACTATTAGAAGACACATTGCTTACATATATTACGATAGACAGACAAGATACATATTCGACAACAATAGAACATGGAAATGATATAAGTAATTTGATGCATCATATACACTATAAGACATCACGCATACATAAACGAACAAGGGTATACACTGGTATCATAATAATATACGTGTAACCTCAATATAACAGACATAGAAACCAAACACACGACGCCAAACGTCGCTAAACACGAGCGGTGGTGGTGAGTCGCAAGTATATCTATATGCTTAGAGTACAGGCGAGCACCCTGTTGGCTCTAGCTCAGTGGCGAGAAACCTTGAGGACACGGCGCATTGAACTTTGTATAAGAACTTTGAAGTTGGTGAGCAACCGCAGCCTCACTAGTGTGATACATGGCATCATCACAGTTGACATAATAGGCCTTATGGTTATTTAGATGCTGAGAGTACAGGCGAGCACCCTGTTGAGTCATACTCAGAGGGGAGCAACCCTGAGGACACGCCGCATTGAAATTTGCGCGAACACTTGAGATTCGGTAGGAACCCGCAGCCTCAAGCGTGTTGCATAGTCGCCGTGAGCGATGTTGATTTGTATAGCATTATTACGTACCAAACGATATCATGTGTATACACGGCGGAACGTGTACAACATTATTACGCAGGAGGCGGAACAATTACGTAGACGACGGAACAGGCGTAATCCTAGTGGTGTGGCAGGCGGAACATGTAAGACGCTGTGACGGAGTCACGGAAAGCGTACCCATCTCAAGTATGCCCATGAGGACATCACACCACGCGCATCTCATACATTACACTTTAAGTCATTAAGAACAAGAGCAGACCAGAGTAAGTAGGTTTAATGGTATACTACGATATGGTCAGGGACAACAAGGAGTTGTCATTGATAACCACTAATGGTAGGCATGACAAATAGGGGTGTCGCACGCGGTCATCCCTGTGATGATAGAAGAAAAAGGATAGTACAATGTTATTAGAGTCAATATATAGCATAATGGTAACCACCCGCACCATAGGCAGACGAGAGGCGAACACACTATACTTAGGATATCATGTCATAGAATCACACAAATTTCACACATGGCAATTAAATTTAACAAATTAGGGAAGTTCAATCAATGCAACACAAAATGACACACACAATCCCCACTAGATAGACAGTTTTCATACAAGAATGGGGGTATAGACGTACACGTACAGATATTAAAGTAAATGTATATCTATAGTCATATACCATTACAGACAATACTATAAATCAATCTAAAAGATAACACAATTATACAGCCATTCCCAAACATGCATACACGCTAAATACACCACAAGACGAATAGGATAATATATATAATACATCTTTGAAACGGAATAAATGGATGAATTAAGAACAGAAAGACAGAAAGACAGATACTTGGTTGTAATATATAGCGGCTGTATCCGCTTCACGCACATGCACATCACAGTATCGGGCATAGTGCCACAAATACTCTCCTTTATGCAGGAATTAATGAACCATTACACACACACTACAGAAGAACATATGGAAACTTGTTTTACGGTGATTTCTTACTACGTAGACAATAGAAAAGTCAACCACGGTTGACATAATATTCACAAAACGTCAAACGTATTACATATGTACACGGAGTTTAAATACGGAATATTGTAACGCATTGTCTAAAACATTTTAACGGATTCGACAGCCGGGTATACATAGTCAGACGCGAGACATGTGCCAAATTAGGATATACATATAATACAAGACAATACGTTGTGCAAGACACATAGGCTGTTATAATTAGTGACCAATTAACAACTAATTATCGACAAAAGTTTGAGACATGGGTCGTCATGTAATAAATATACTGTTAAATAGGCATAATTATAAAGTATAAAATCGACAGAATGTATATTTACGACCACGGGTTTGATGTATAAAATTAAAATATTAAAATAGTTTATATATGATTATATTTTTTATTACATTTGGTATATTTATAGCACGTAATTTTTTTAATTTAATACAAAACAGGTACTTTTAGTCTGTTTACAGTTGACTGAGTGATATTTTAGCCGCAATTATTTACGACAAATGTAATAATTAGTAATAGTAAATTCTAACGATGCAATAACCCCACGGTCCGTATAGGATATTACCTTTATATTTTTATTCATAAATTATCACAGAATTATGGCTTAAATATTCATTGAAAAATACCAGCACTCAACTTGGCGGGGCTGGACAAAGTACCGTAGACGGGGATTTAGTACCGGACCAGAGGACCGGACTGACAAGAGCAATTTAGGACCAGACCAGAGGGCCGAACCTAAGGAAAATATTTAGGACCGAATCAGAGGCTTGGACCTAAAGGAATTTTATTGAAGAACGGACCCGAGGACCGGACTGGATATCAGAATATATAAGCTAGTGAGAAAGAATGATGACTCATCAGATATCATCATTATTTAGTAACTAGGAGACCATAATATTAGATACGGAGATTTACACAATCTGCCGTTGTTAGAGAAAATCTCGTTCCACATAGGAACGTGATTAATAAATACAGCAGACGCGCCGTTCATAACGGCACTTCTGACTAAGTTCACTTATTTCAGACTTAACACTTTTGACTAAGCGCAACTCGGTTTTGACTACAGCAAGCTCTGAAATATATCGTCGAACCTTTGCCCTTCCATAAAGCGTCCAAAGTTGTACGGCGGATGGTGCTCATGGTCTCATTGCTGCCTTCGCCAACAATCCGCACGGCTGCTTGCTAAAATCAATGAAGAAGAACTGCATATAGACCCCGAAACATCTCAATAGCTCCCCTGGCGTCAACGGATGTCCATACTTCCTATCCTTACATTTAGCTAGCAAAAGATTCGCCAGTGCACACGTCTCTACTAGATTGCCTAAAGGAAACATGGCATAGAAGTAAGTGATTGTATCCCGCGCAATTTCATCTTTTGGACCGAAGGTCTCGTTATTAGCGATGACCTTCCATGATTGCTTTTCTTCCGGACGTGTATCTGCATTGACCACCTTCCATTCCCATCGAACACCATATGCTTCAATATACTCAGGCCGTACTATTGGTGTTTGGGTGGTCTGAGTAAATGCGTTTTGTTTAACACGTTCTGTTCCTTGTGTTTGTGTCATTTTATCTACACTACTAGTCACACTACTAGTTTGTCGTTCTGATGGTGTCACATACACAGGCACAAAGGTACTGAGATAGTGTGAGGGTGTTTTATCGTTGTTGATAATGTCTAAGTCTAAGTTAAGCTGTGTGTCAATGTTAGAGTTCAAAGTGTATGTGTCAACTGGGTCTGAAAGTGAGGGTAGGGAAGTGCTTGATGGTGCAACCATTTCAGGCCTGTTCGGGAGAGAGGTAAGTTCATTGTAATGTCTGATGGCGCATGAGATAAGTTAGTAATGCGCACGTCTCCAGGTACGAGATGAGTGTCGATTTCTGAAGATGCATATCAAGAAGCGTGTGCATGCGTGTGTTGTGTATCTGTTGTTGCGTGTGCATGCGTTTGTTGTGTACCTGTTGTTGCGAGTGCATGCGTGTGTTGTGTACCTGTTGTTGCGTGTACATGCATTTATTGTGTTCCAGTTGTTACGCGGGCATGCGTGTGCTGTGTATCAGTTATTGCCTGTGCATGCGTGTGTTGTGTATCTGTTGTTAGGGCTTGTAGGTGTTCGGGTACACCTTCACGTATTTGCTGTGAACTATAACGGGTTTCTGATCCATGTTGTTGAACCAGAAGTGCGTGTCGTGCGAATGCTGCTCGTGCTGGACCCGAAATCAGCATTTGTGTGCATGCCGGTGCATCACCATCTTCTATTTCTTCAGGTGGAACCAGTGCTATGGTCTGAAGAGATAGCGCTTGTGTCTTTGTGTAAATATATCCCTCGCCATCAGTGAAATCATACACACTCAGTAATCTTCCACACCATAACTCTGCCTGTTGACGATGCTGTACTACTTGCATTCACTACATTCGCCTCCGACCTGATGTCCTTATATCGTAACCCAAAGCGATTCTGAGCGTACCTCTGGTCCATATGATGCCAACGGACATAAACGGTGGTGCCTATGACTCGTTTGGCAGCTGCCGAGTCATTTTTAGGCACCTTAGGCATGGTTATAGTTATTGTAATCTACTTAATATCACACATAGTTGTGTGCACACAGGCTGTAGCACTTTTTGTATGTCTCGACTTATAGTTGCGCTATCGACGCGGTCGAAGTTTGGCGCACTTCTTACTACTTCTTAAAGGTGATAGGCTATTTAAAGGACCGAACTGCTATCGCCCATGATGCGATAATCGTCATGCGGTTACCAGCCCATTCGGGCTAAAATAGCCCGATTGGGCGACAGGATCTATTATTTTAATCCTGGATAGTGCTCTACCAAACGATGACATATTTAGTTTTATCTCTGAGTTTTTATTTCATAATGTCAATGAATCGTCAGCGATTGATTTATAACTTTCACCTACAACCATATTATTCTCACATAGATATAATATTTGTTGTTCGATTGTTCCCGTGTTTTCGGTTCGAATAGGTTCATTCACTACTTCTTCAAGGTTCAAATTGAAATTTTTTCTTTTTGAATTTATAGTGGGTATAGATATCTCTCCTCTGGGCATTACAATCGAGACAAGCAATGGCACAATTCGATTTCATATGACCTATTGAATTGACCTGTCATAAGATCGTAAGTAGACTTTTAACTTCTTCCGGATAGTATTCCATGGCGACTTTACAATAAATACATTTACCCCCTTGTTCGTATTTAGTTTGTTACAGAAAACAACGATCTATAAACTTGTCCGCATCATATATATCTTTATTCATATCAGACCTTTTTGACCATTTCATCATACTCATCAGAGTTATTTTGACGGGATCCGAACAATTCTTACACATATCGAATATTATGAGGACAGTACCGTTGTTTAACCCAGCAAACCTCGCACATCTTCTTCATTTCACCATCATCTCTTATTCCAAATTTTTCCTCCGGGACTAAACGGTTCGATCTATTACACTTGATTAACTTCATTTTATACAAAAACCTCATCTCTTTGAACCGTTGTTTCAAACCCTTCATTTTAAAATTAAAACTTTCAATCCGTTTCAATCCGGATATAGACCCCATTCTTCATTCTAGCATAACCCGGATCTAACAATATATGAGATAGAGACAAGAAAATATTTTTATTGGGGGATTTCGTATCTTTCCAATTCTTAATAATTCAGTTATAATATCATTTCTATCTATTTCCAAATCATCACAGAAATCCTTCAATTCCTTTCTAAATCTTTCTTGTTTCATTTGTTTATTATGTTGATATAATAATTTTTTAATTTTATTTTCAAGAGTGTCGATATTGTATTCTTATTTAAAGACACGAATATTTTAAGTTTCCGGTGATTGCCGATAGTCATACTTTTAAAGGTTATCCAGAAGGGGGTTAGAATGTTTTACTTAGTTATTAGAGGGGGAGGGGTAAGAATGTTTTTAGATAATTATCAAACCTTATAGCCTCGTTAATGTACTGTTAGGTTTTACTGTTAGAGTTTTACGAGATAAATAAAGGCAATGACTATATAAACTATAACACTATAATAAGATTAGATAAGATTATATAACTAAATGACATCCATCTATCTAAATCTTAATGACATCTATATACTTAGACTTATTGCATCTTTATCTATCTTAATGACATCTCTTAAAACAATTTATATAGAGGGGACTTAATGAATACCACATTCATCTTATCCTATTATAGGGATAATATTATTTATTTCAATTTGGATAAAGTTTTATGTCTACATGTACAGCAGGCTTCATATTCGTTGGAGAGGTTTGTGAAAATTGAAGGGAAGTTGAGATTGTCGAACTGCCGCAAGAAGCTCGGGGCGAGTGATGCAATAATGGAAGACACACGATGCGTTAGTTCACGGCGATGGATAAGGAATACCTCTACCATTGTATCATAATATTACATCTATATACAAATCTAATTACGGATTGTTAAGCAGATTTACGATATTGAAGAATAGATATAAGCAATTATACTAGTCTGAAGGGGTAGTTTAAGTACCATATCATAAAAGGGTAGAAACCATAATTACTATAAACGTATATTATATGTTGAGTGTCGTTTTGGGAAGATATAATGTATATTATGTTATATATATATATATATATATAAATATAAAATATATATATATATATATATATAGATAAATATAAATATATATATATATAACCTCAATTCAATTGTTTCCATCAACAATACTTCATCTATTCTATACCTATCTCACTTCATAAACAATTCAGGGTTTGTATGTCTATATCATACAATTTTCTTTAAAAGTAACCGTTATACATTTGCTCAAGGACATCCAATATCAGTGCCTAAGAGGCATGTTAGCACTATATTTTGACTAATAGCTCATATATCCATTAATTCTCTACGCCATTTCTTCATCTGTACTCTCGGGATCGTCAAGATCAGCTTCTTGTATATCCGCCTCACTCTCAGATTCTTCATCGCTCTCATCAGCCCCATCACTCGCCACCTCGGAATCGCTGTAGGATTTGTATATACATAATTGTGTGCAAAATCCAGTGCTTTTATATAGTTGAGATATACGCATGTGAATGCAACTAAATGAGCACCCTTATTTGTGTATATGCACACACATGCATGCTTTACACTCGAGGTGTTATCGTGGAACAAAAACTCGCAATACATGTCGCCAGTAAAATGCCTAGATAGATCTGAAGCAGCTACAGATGAATATCTGATTAGCAAAGTTGTGCGACGACCAAACATGATTTGGCGCATAACACTAGTATAGCATTTAAATACATTCACACTGTCCAATAAATCGGTGCACAAGGCATTTGTATTTCTGGTGCTACCATTACACCAGCCCTAAACCCTAAACCCATCACACTTCTCCGGAAGTTTTAATATATGATCTTAAAAAACTGTTACACGTTACAACACCTATACCTGTTATCAACCTACTTCGGCGCTTTCACCGAGCATGCGCGAAACGTACGCTTCTCAGGCGCTGCTGCACACTTCAGCATCCCACCGTGAGGAAAGAATGCATCCAAACCATTTACACACGACCTTAAGTTACCTCAAGTCTCAATAGAGATCCAACTCATAACCCCATCTACCTGTAACACACGTATCACGTCTATACCTGTTGTCTGTCTTCGTCGGCGCCTTCACTGAACGTGCGCGTAAGGTGCGCTTCACAGACCCGTCCGTATTGGCCGTTGTGGCGAGCACTTCGTCTACACCATCCAAGAAGGCTCGATCGAGACCCTTGAGCAGGTTATCAAACAGTCCCTCAATGTCACTGCGCGATATCCAGTCGTCCGGTGTTTGATCGTAGTCGGCTAGTTGGTGTGCACTCTGTGTACATCAGAGGTGGAGGTGTAGGTTGGGTATTTTCCAATCGGGGTTCAAAACTAATTGGACTACATGACATATGAAGATAGTGTGGTTTTCGTTTAAGACACGAGCTTGGCGATAGATGTTAGGATAGCAGACATGTGCGGCCTAAATCGAATTGAAGGTAGCACTGACACTGACACGTCAAAATACAAAACAGCCAATACGATACACTCCATGTGAGATAGGCGTTGGTTTCGTTTCAAATGCACCTGTGTTGCCAGAGCATTTCTTTCCTGATGAGTTTTTAAGATCCAATCTCTGAGACATGAACAAACGTTCTGGTAACACTGAAGTAGGTGGATTCCGTGTCGCCTCGACTACAGGCGGGGTAATCCCACAGGATATTTATGCAATGCATGATCTATGCATTCTGAGCCACGGTATACACACATAGACTATGATAAAAAGGTATCCTTCGAAGTTCCTATCAAACATTGAGATGATTTAACACGCTCATAACGGTATTATTACCATTAGTTATGAACCCTGACAAGTACACGAATTACGGGAGTGTCGTTTCCTGCCATTTGTTCTCACTACGGTGCACTTCACTACGACAACTTTAGTGATCTCCAGCACGAGCATGTACATGTATATCAAAGCGATGGTAAAATTGTACGACAAACCGCTCGCAGACACACCTTTCTGGTATCTAGTGTATCACATAATTATCACCAACGCGAGCGGAAAATCCCAAACACGTGCATGCCTACCCTTTGCAGTTGTTTCTGTGCAACACTGTCATTGCACTCCTTCCTCAGATCGGCGATGATCACGCGCATGGCCTTTACCAGTTGCTGGTTCTCGTGCTCGATCTCTATCACATTCAGCAACTTGGACCACAGCTTCATGTAGTAGTTATCCCCATCCTTGGCAGCGTGTAAGCACTCATTGGCAATGGTCTAGGTGTGGAAACAAACGAACAACAAACTATGTTAGGCGATGATCAAAAATGTTTTCCTCGATTTAAATACAGGTACAATACGTTCACGCGTGTAGGTGTCGGCACTATTGAGAAGTGGATAAATACAACGGCAAGTGAGTGGCTTGCATTAAACAGATAGACGCCCAAATATAGTACATGTTTAAACCAAATACTGATACACAAATTGCTCGAGTATGGGACGGTTCCTATCATGTGTACGAGTGTCCCTTTCTGGTATGCAGCGAGCTGCTCTGGCTATTTGGTTATACAAGACAAGCATGTGCACACATGTACAAGCGAGAGTCACACGCACTTACAATGGCGAGTGCGTGGTGCGCCTCAAACAGACTGGCACCCGAGGAGTAGTTGGGATTGTTCTGGTTGAGTTGCTCAGGGCTCGTCAGGTATAGCAGATACGCACCCACTTGATATTCGTTCACTGGAGAAATGGCAGGGTAAGTGTTTTGAGAGCTCGTTCGCTGGAGAAATGGTAGGTCAGACAACATATATATACACACACACACACACACACACACACACACACACACACATATATATATATATATATATGTTCACGTCATGATGATGTGCAGATATGACCACGTCCACACACACACATGTACATAATATTGTGCATGCACTACACGGGTAAACGTTGACAGGCAGTCATCAACACGCCAACAGCCGTTCAATTAGAATGCACGCCAACAGTCATATTTCAATTTATACATATACATATAAACATAAAAACAAATATACATATATATATACATACATATACATATGTATATACATATATTCATACATACATACATACAGACACAGACACACAGACACACACACACACATATTTATATATAATATGAACTCGCATCCAATTATCAACACTTGAACAGTCGTATACAAATACCAAGAGGTCCCGTCAATGACCTCCAGCAGGCATTCATTATATACAGGAATACCCGCAACTAGAGGCAAGCACACACACATCGACCAAAATTACTTCGTGAAAAGGCGTCCGCCGATAAGTCCTTATTAATGCTGTGAAGGAATGATCACGCATACAAACACACACAACACATTGCCAAAACCCATCATACAATTACACATACACGTATTCAAGCGTACCTTGAAATAAAAGCGACCGTATAGGAGACTCTAGCAGTGTGTTCAATACGTACAGGAATGATCGCATGCACAAGAACACATGCAGGCCAACGTCACCGTACAAGTACAAACACACAGACACATAAACACACTCACAATTATGTGCACGGATACAAAGCGTACCTTCATAGAGAGGTGACCGTCGAGGAGCGTCGAGTAATGTGTTCATGATTTGCAGAAAAGACCGCTCGATGATGGCCTGGTGTGCGAGCGACTTATCGGCCACCGGACGCGCTGTGGCAAATGCAAACTCAGGGAAGAACACGCCCAGACACTGTATTGTAGATATGCAAGCATATATACACATAAATATAATAATATAATAATACACACACACACACACATACATATATATATATATATATATGAATTGCGTGTAATAGATACCATTTGTTGACATGAACCAGTGCGTGAACTATAGAATATTGAAAAGGATGTTCTAGGTACGAAAGAGGTGCTAAACGCTGAAGAAAACACGCACAGGCACTCTATGGTTAAAAAAAAAACGTACAATATGCAAGTTAGCGTAGAGCAATATAACTCATTATGTTCTTAATACCATCGTAATGGACAGCGTAAATGCGAATGCAATGCCAGCGAAGAGCACGCCCAGGACTGTATGGAAGGTACTTTAGTATACACATACGCACACATACATCTTTATATATATACAAATACGCACCCACACAACACACACACACACATATATATATATACATACATACACACACACACACACACACATATATATATATAAATAATGTGTATCGATACAAATGGTGACTAACTTACGCGCACCATAACTCATACCTGTCGTAACCTCTGGTCGTCGCTAGACATGGGATTGAAATACAGCACCATCAACGCAGCAAACACGGTGTGACTGGCCAAGTGATTAGTGTGTAACAGCTTCGCAAACCCCTCCGCGGCTACGGTGCGCATCTCGGCAGTGTCGCTTTGTAACAGATTAAACAGGATGGGAATGTAAGTCTTGATCGTTGTATCCACTGTAGCTTCTGTGTCTGACTCATTCTCGCCGGTGTCTTTGTCTCCTGTGCACGTGTAGCGATGTGGGTGTGGGTGTGAATGTGAGAGTGAGAGTGAGAGTGAGTGTGGGTGTGGGTGTGATATTGAATATACTGGTTGTGCACAGACATGCCTTGGTATAGTATAGACGCATGTGTAACCGGTGCACACACTTAGCACTAGCGCGGCTGAGGAGAATATGAAGAGGATGGGAATGCATGTCATGATCGTTGTTGTGTCCCCTCCTGTTGATGTGTCTAACGTATATTTGGATATGCTCTATTCCGCTCCGCATGTGCAGTGATGTGTATGCGTGGATGTTGTGTGGGTGTGGTGTGGGTGTGAGTGTGGGTGTGGGTGAGTTAGGAACTATTCAAATTGCGTATAGACATGTATCGGTACAAACGCATGTGCGTACCAGTTTGACTATCTCTGCAAAAACATTAACGAAATCATGATCTATGTCTTGTATGTTTTGATCGCTGTGTTCACAGATAATTCTGAAACTCTGTTTCCGGCACATTCTCGGCATAGTCGTCTGCATTCCATACGTACAGTGACGCGTGCGTTTGCATGTGGGCAGGTTGGTGCGTGTGCTTAGCTTCATATGATAGTAACCACACAGGCGATTGTGTCTACTGATATACCTATAGGTGTATATATAAGGAAATATATATATATATGCATAGCACTCGTATACGAAAATATACATATATGCAATATACAAATACGGAAATATACATATATGCATAATACTCGTATACAAATATACATATATGCATAAAACTCATATACGGAAAGATCCATATATGCAAAATACTCGAGCAAATTATTACATATATGAATTATACTTGTGTACAAATATACAAATATGCATAACTCTTGTATACGGAAAATCACACATATGAATAATACTCATATGCAGAGATTTACATATATGCATAGTACTCGTATACACAAATTTACATATTCGCATATAACTCATATTTACAAAATTGCATATATGCTTAACAAAAGTGCACAAATTCACATATATGACTAATGCTCATATACACAAATATATATATATGCATAAAACTCATACGAACAAATTTACATATATGCATAATACTCGTGCACAAATTTACAAAAACATATAATACTCTTACACACAAATTTACATATTTGCATCAAACTCATATGCAAAAATTTACATATATGCATGAAATCCATTTACAAATTAAAACATATATGCATAATACACATGCACAAATATGTGCAATACGCATAGCCATACCGAGAGCTTCTAGGTCGTTTTCCATGAGCGACATATTGTTCATGGACTCTCTAATAACATCGGCTTGTTGCTCTCGCTTGCGATCACTTTCTACGTGCGCGGATGATACGCCTAACGTTAAGGGACCATATACCAGCAGCAGATCAAACAGAGTCTTCACCGCAGTGAGCTGTGAGTAAGAATATAGAGAATTGAAAGAACGAAGATAAGATTAACATACACAGTAGAACATAATCAAATTGATACAAATAAAACATATATATATATACACATATATATATATATATATATATATATATATATATACATATATAAACATACACACACACTATGGAGACAAATACAAATACACACACACACATATATACATACATACATACATATATATACATGTACATGTACAAATACATACATGCATATATATGCATATAAATATATATGTATTTAAATGCATTTATATGCATCAATTCAAATTCAAATTCAAATTCTTATATATATATATATATCAGTATTGTAAAGCTTTTACTATACCCGACGCACCTGAATGCGGGGGCCATCGTTCTCAGCAACCTGTAGCAGCAGAAGAAGATAGTCTCGTCCGAACTCCGGGTTAATTACACAGCACAGACCCAGGCTACGGATAGCTTGCTCACGTATAAACGTGTTGTGGTTCTGAATCCCCGGCAGAATAAGGTTGTCGATCAATGCACTCATCTCGCCGTGGTTGATGTTTAGTCGCCGGGTCTGGTGACAGGATATGGTATCTTGCTCAGAGTCATAAATCGAAGATATTTTGTATACATTCTACGCGTATATATATATATATATCTCTCTCTCGAGAACGATGAACTATGTACATGCATATATAAGTAAAATAAAATAGTGCGTTGGGGTTGGTTCTGAATCAGGGGCAGAATGAGATTGATGGCCAACTCCTTTCGCCGTGGTTGATGTAGTCGCTGGGTGTTAACTACCGGAAGAACCACGCACAAGATGTGAATCGTACCTTATATACATGAGCAAATACTCTTACCAGTTTCAGTTTTAATAATCGGAAGAAGGTACGGTCATACGTTATGTATATATGCTAACACACACTCAGATTCTCCAACAAGCACACAATCCTAAACAACACAATGTACGCATCGGATTGGGTCAAATAGTCTTACTACAGCAAGGGCAAGAACTTCAATCAAAATATAATATGATCCCCTGTGTTCTCCAGGATCAGTGGGCAGATAGTCAGCGACCTGAACTGCCTACCGTCTGTCGTGAAGTCGGCGATGCTTGTCTCTGTATCCACCACCACGCAAGTTGACACACATCCACCCTTATTGACAGATACAGCCAGTCTAGCAGCAAGTATTAATGCAGCGTACATAACAGCTCCCATACTGTACACCCACTCTCTCAACGGCAGGTGCATACAGCTCGGATAATACAAACCACACACGACGTCCGTACTATACACACACCTTCTCCAGGAACAATGAGCAGATAGCCAGCGACCTGAACTGCCTGTCGTCTGCTGTGAAATCGGCAATGTCTGTCTCTGTATCCACGACCAGCGAGGTGTCGAGGCCCCCTGTGTTGCGGTAGTTGTTATCATCGGCTAGCTCTCGGATAATACCTGTAGGAGAGAATATCAGATGACACGCATAAGCAAGTACACAATACTAGAGGTAGACGAATAAACACGTACACAATACTAGGGGTAGACACATGAACACGTACATAATACTAGGGACAGACGCATAAGCACGTACATAATACTAGGGGTAGACGCAAAAGCACGTACACAATACTAGGGGTAGGCGCATAAGCACGTACATAATACTAGAGATAGACGCAAAAGCATGTACACAATAATAGGGGTAGACGCAAAAGCACGTACATAATACTAGAGGTAGACGCACAAGCACGTACATAATACTAGGGGTAGATTAATGATACTTGAACGAGACGGAGAAGATCGAAGACAAATCAGGACAAACTTTATACTTTTGATTCATGCCTTGGCAAGGCTGAGAAAATCAAATACACACAAGAACACCTTCCAAGCTCTAATATACTGCCGGAATGAGAATGAGATGATGCAGAAACGCATAGGAAAATGCACAGCCACAGACACAAACACAGGAACAAACGAACTCACAGATATACAGACACACACACGACTCCTCTCCCCCTCCTCCATACACAAACACAAACACATGCTTATATATATATATATATATATATATCTATATATATAAACATGAACATGAGAAAATACCAATCTTAGTTGTTTATAAATTGTTGCGCGCTCGTATACCCACACACACACCACATACCCGTGACCACGTCTATCCTATCGTTTGTCTTCTTGTGTGTGTGTGCAATGCAGTCCACGAGTGCGGGCAGGAGCACATCGCTGGTGGCTGCAGAGACCAACATATCCGATGCCAGTTGAGATAGTAACCTTCGTCCAACCTCATCTCCCTGCACATATTAGAACAACGTATTCTTATTATCTATTTTTCGCTTAGTATCTATCGTAAGTGGGTCTATCGATATATAGTATCCATCGGATGCTATTGCGATTATGCAGAGTAATTGTCTAGCGATACTTGGCATCTATCTTATGCTTTGTAAAAATCATGCCAGTGCAGCTAAAAAATACCCCCCTTCTCACCACATCTCCCTACACGTATTGGATCAACGTGTACTTAGTATCTATATTCTGTCTATGTAAGTCTAGCTGAAAAGGATCCCCTCGGTGTGACCTCAACCGGTTACACACAGGTACTAAGCGTACAATTGATATTTATAAGTTTTCTATGCGTGGGTATTTCGCGGATCGAGTTTGACTTCTATATACCAATGTATGGGTGCCCAAACCCAGGTGCATTTGTGATGAAAAAAGATATATGCATTCGTATACGCCTACTTGGTATATCCGCGACCACGAGCAAGTAAATTTGACTGAGGCTGTACTGCCAATTGTACTATTGACGTCTGATACCAAATAACTATATCAGCAAATCATATGTTCAAGCATGTCAGTGTGCAGCCCACCCCCCTGCCCCCTAACCGCCAATAAATAAATAGAAATGAAGCCTCCGCAAGCTTAAAAAAATAAATGAAAATGGTCCTATTGAAAGACTCGTTAAACGCCCGATTTCTGATCAATCTGATTGTACAGCGAATAATGGCGTGTGTAAAAAAAAATCGTCAATGTGTGGAGTATCCACGGATGATTCCCACCGTCTGATTGGTCGACACATAGTTGACTTTGATCCAGTACAATTATACACACAGCCACACACACTCAACGATGGTAACGGAATTATACATACAGTCGTAATCTTGGGTAAAATTGCCAGGCGAGACACAAATACACCCAAGAGCGAGGTCTCTAGCTTTATACCTACGTCTCGGAATTCGGGTCCAGCGCATTGTCTACATAGTAAATATAGATCAAGTAGCACATCGGCATCGGCACTTAACACGCCCACAATTCCGCGCGCAACTCAGATACACAATTACAAGGACACAACACAAAAACAAATATACGCCAAGGAGAATGAAATCCATAAACAAGCACACACATACACAGAGAGACAAACACAAACACACCTGCACATAAGCGCAACACAGCCACAACACGGGGCACACACCACATCACACAAGGCAGCAATCGTGAGCAGCTTGTTGGTGACAAAAACCACAGTGCTGGCGTTTTCGTCACTTCCATCGGCTAGAAGTTCCTTCTCCAGCGCAACGTACTTCAGGATGGCTTCGGTTAGCTCTGTCTGAATGAGCACCAGGACAATACGTACAAAGTGAGAGGGATGTAGGGATGTACATATATATATATACATAAAATTATATATTCATATATATACAGACATACATACATACATACATACACATACATATATGTATATATATATATATACATACATACATACATATATATATATATTGACACACACACACACACACACATATATATATATAAACATACATACATACATACATACATACATACATATATACATACACATACCTATATATATATATATGCATATATACATACATACATATACATATATATATATATATACATATATATATATATAAATATATATGTATATATACATACATACATACATACATACATACATATACATATAGATTTATATATATATATATAAATATATGCATAAATATTTATAAAAATGATCTTTTTGAATTCGCTTAATTAGCAAAAGGGCCCCAAAGTTTCGCTTGGACTGCAAAGGTTTGGTCCACTCTCGTGATCCGCTGTTAATGTGTATGTACAGTGCACACCAAAAACAAAGAAAAAATGTGACACGAAGATAGACAACTATAACGAGAATTACACATATTAATTTGAACATGTACACACACACACACACTC